TGTTCGAATGCACGACTTGGTTCAGGACATACTAAATTGGGAGAGGTTCTATTTGAGCGGCCGATTACAAAAACCAGTATGTCTTCTTCATTGATTCTCATTTTTGTGCGTGTCCTTATGCTTGTGGAAGATTGATCTTCAGCTTCATATTTGTCCTTCATTCCTTTTGATTTTAGTTAACTTTACATTATTTTATAACTAGCAGCACCCTTGACATTGCAAGAGGATGATAAAAGTTTAAGAACTTTCAATCATATTCAATGATAGTCTTGTAGTGACGTAATTCTAGGGGGAAAAAAAAACTTTCACTAATTCAATATAACAAATTTTTACCTTATTGAAATATTTTGTGGCACATGCCAATTACCTTAAACTAATGAAAACTAAATACATCTTCTTATGCTGTGCTGTTGAAGACTCAAGACTTGGATTGTCTCATCTAGTTCATGCGGTCATATATTGTCTTTATTTCTGAATATGAGAGTTTTCAATGTTTTTTTCTACAGGTTCATGTACTTTTGGATAATCTGGATGTCACAAATGTAAACTCGGTTAATTTGAGGGCTGCAATGTCTGCAGCTCTCCTTCTTTTGCCGTCCAAGTTCACTGAGGTCTGATTCTTTGTCACTGCTCAATGATTTTAAATTTTTTTGGAGTTCTAACATTTTCCAACTAATGCAGGAAGAACTGTATGCCAAAATATGTAGCCTCTCGTATATGGGCGACTTGCGTATGCTTTTTGCAGAGGACAGAAATAAGGTAAAGCTCAATCAGTGGTTACATAAATCCACAAACTTTCATTCACTTGTTGGGTCTGTGATTATATGGCCAAACATAATCTATTTTCTTTAATTACATTATCTACCGCAGGTGAAGAAAATAGTACAAGGGCAATTTGAATTGTTCCGTTCGATGTATAAGCCATTTATTGAAGAGTATGAGACCAAAGAGTTGTTGAGACGCTCATTATCTGGGAATACTCAACCAATCATATCTCAGGTCTATTCTGACCCTTAGGTTGCAGTGTGAACTCAATCCAACATTACTTTTACTGACAAAGAGTTGATTTATAGCTTCTTATAAATGTTGAAAAAGAATAAGAAAAAATAAAAACAGAAGCGTTGATTTAATGGGTGTATGGAACCTCATTGCATGTTTTAGAACTTAAGCTAGATACCAACTTTAAGACTTCGCTAGATGGCTAATTTTTCTGAAAGTTATGCTATGTAGTCTACAGTTCATTGCTTTGAACCTTAAGATACATTATTACATGTTAAAACAGGATGGCGGTTTATCAGCAGCTCAATCTCTCGTTTCTTCTCTGCCCCCAATGGTCAGAAGCCAAATGGCGATGAAGCTAGGAGAAAAGAAAGTACTGTGTGACTCTGGTATGAACCTTAACTCATCTGCAGTGGCTTTACAAGGATAAAGGTTTCTTAAGGATTGATCTGAGTTCAGATTTAATGATTATACCAGATCCCAAAGTTTTTTAGGAAAAAATTGCTTGTTTGTTATAAATGGAAAAGTGACAGTGATTGTGTTTTAACTAGGGTGGTAGTTTAACATATGTACGTGTAACTCTTGAATCTGGATTGTAGTCAATCATTACACTCTTGTACTTCAATTGCAGGTCGAGTTATTCAGGAAGTTGTGATTGGCTCCAAAGACGAGGCTGCTAAATGCATGCAGACTATTCTGCAGCGAAAGGTCATGGTTTCAAGTGCAAGACAGGCCGTGTCTGGTCTCCTGGCTGCTGGTGGCATTACTGCCATGAGATATGTTGGTGCTAAAATTAGCAAGGCTTGGAAATCCTGGAGATGATAGTTCTTTATTTAATTTTTTATGCATTTTAGGTGCCAGTCTTGTTCAGCCATAAACTGTTAGCATGAGAGGGACATGGAAAGCATGATTTTTGCAATTCATCTCGTTCAACAAGAAACATAACTTGTATGAGCTCCCTACTGTTCACTGGCCAATAGGTTTCATTCAAACAAGATATTGTTGTTTGTACCAAGGAAGAAGAAACAGTTGTTATCAGTGGGCATTTTGTGATAAGAAACTGCGGGAGGAAAATCAAGTTTTGTATGGACATGTACATTTTAATCTTTAATTAAGTCCAAAAGATTGGCAGCTGATTGATTTAAATCAAGTCTTCACTCTCACAGGGTAGAACTTGAATTATATCTTTGAATTTTCTACACGCTGTTTCCAATAGTTGAAACTCATCTTTGAATTTTCCTACAACTTCCAATTGGATCACTGCATGTGGGCCTCAGTGTTTAATTTTGTTTCACAGCCTTGACTTCACTGCAAGTAAAGGATTGCTCGTGGACGGATAGTAGCCCAGGTACATCAATTTCACAGCCTTGACTTCACTAAAAGCTTAGAGCAATGCCAATTACAAATTTGTAATTACATGTTTAATTGCAAATTTTTCTTCCATAGACTTATTTGGAGAAAGAATATTTGAAAAAAAAGTAAAAACACTTCACGAAAAAAAAAATTAAAAAAAGGAAAGTGTATTGCTACTGCTTGTTCTAGTGCTCATTAGAGAACGTTTCATCATCATCCAGGATCAATTTCAAAGGCTCTTCTTGAATTTTGACCCCAAAAAATAAAAGGCTCTTCTTGAAATACCTTCTTTTTCTTTTTTCTGTCTTAATTAAAGATATATATATTTTTATTTTTATTTTGCTACAAAGAGATATTCGGGGGAATCAAACATAAAATCTCTGATTAAAAAGTAACGCTATTAACCACTTAAGCTACAAAATCTCTTGTTTAACTAATTATATAAATAGATGTTAAAGCAAGTGCATAGTTTGTTATATGGTATTTTACAATGCACAGGAAAAATGGTCGTGGTATGAGCTAAGAGGCCAATAGTCCATCACTTTCGTGAAAGCGAGACCGATATTTAATAATAATAAAAGATATTTATTATTTCTGGCTTGTTCATAAACGGCAGTATCTCCATTTATTGTTCGGTAGATAAAGACAGACAAACCCGGAAAAGCAGTGGAAACTTCACACAAAATGGCAATGCAAGTGGTAAGAGATTCTCACAAAATGACAATGCAAGTAGCCATTATTCAAGTCAACACTACAGTCCTCTGAACAAATCATATCAAATATACCAAACAATCCAAGAAATCAGCCCACTAGACTCGTAAGTAAAAACAAGCTTTTACAAGTCTCTTAAATCGTCTGCATCATTGACTTATGCATTGAGCTCGCAACCTCAGTTTCACTATCAATAATTGAATAAATAATTCAGGAACTAGGAGATAAGATTCCAAATCTCCGGACAGGATCCCATATTCTAGCATTTCACATTGCCATAAGAGATAAGTGCTAGGGAAGGACACAAGGGAAAAATAGAGTGATGGGTTCCATGGGAGTCGTGGGTGAAGAGGTTCAGCCAAGAAGTTACTGGAGATGGAGCAAACAAGATTTCCTACCAGAAGAATCCTTTCAAAGTTGGAGCACATATCGGACCGCCCTGTCACAAACAGGCTACAGGTTCAAGAACCGTCTCATAAGCAGATCAGATGATAACAATGAGATTGGGGAACTTCCAAAGCGAAGTGAAAATGATATGAAGCGTTGCCTCACATGGTGGGATCTCATCTGGTTTGGATTTGGTTCAGTAATTGGTGCAGGCATCTTTGTGCTTACTGGGCAAGAAACTCATGACCATGCTGGACCAGCTATTGTCTTGTCCTATGTTGCTTCCGGTGTCTCGGCAATGCTCTCTGTCTTCTGCTACACAGAATTTTCAGTGGAAGTCCCTGTGGCAGGTGGAGCTTTTGCTTACCTGCGGATAGAATTAGGAGACTTTATAGCATTCATAACAGCAGGAAACATACTTCTTGAGGGCTTTGTCGGAAGTGCAGCAGTTGCTAGATCATGGACTTCTTACTTCACATCACTCTTGAATCGTCCCTCCAACTCATTACGCATCCATACAAATCTGACAGAGGGGTACAACCTACTTGACCCGATAGCTGTTGCTGTTCTGACAATAGCTGCAACAATTGCAATGATCAGCACAAGGAAGACCTCTTACTTAAACTGGATAGCATCTATAGTCAATAATGTTGTAATTCTGTTTGTGATAATTGCAGCATTTATCCATGCCAACCCATCAAATATGAAACCCTTTTTTCCGTTTGGGGCTAAAGGAGTCTTTCAAGCAGCTGCAATTGTTTACTTTGCTTATGGAGGATTTGACAATATCGCCACCATGGCTGAAGAAACCAAAAATCCATCCAGAGACATACCGATAGGATTAATTGGATCAATGTCAATCATCACTGTCGTATATTGTTTAATGGCAGTTTCACTGCCTATGATGCAGAAATACACAGATATAGACACAAATGCAGCCTACTCTGTAGCATTTCAAAGTGTGGGCATGACATGGGCCAAGTACCTGGTAGCCCTAGGTGCCCTGAAGGGAATGACCACTGTTCTTCTGGTTGGGACACTTGGACAGGCACGGTATATCACTCATATTGCACGAGCCCACATGATTCCACCATGGTTTGCTCTTGTCCATCCAAAGACAGGAACCCCCATAAATGCTACACTCTTGATTGTCATTCCAAGCGGTTGTATTGCTTTGTTTTCGAGCTTGAATGTCTTGGCAGGTCTGTTATCAGTGAGCACACTCTTTATCTTCATGATGATGGCTGTCGCACTTCTAGTGAGGAGATACTACGTGAGAGAAATCACCCCACAACAACATCTTTTGAAGCTAGTCATTTTCTTGCTGATCATCATTGCTTCTTCCATAGGGACTTCGGCTTACTGGGGACTAAATCCCAATGGTTGGGTTGGTTATGTCGTGACAGTTCCTCTTTGGTTCTTTGGGACTTTGGCAATGGCAGTACTTTTACCCCAACAGAGGTCACCAAAAGTTTGGGGGGTTCCACTGGTTCCTTGGTTGCCATCCTTGTCAATTGCAACAAACATTTTTCTTATGGGATCTCTGGGTCATCAAGCTTTTGAAAGATTTGGAATCTGCACCGTAGTAATGCTTATTTACTATGTCTTCTTTGGTCTGCATGCAACTTATGATATGGCCCATAAGCAAGACCAGCCAGAATCCCTGAAAGTCGATGACAGCAACATCAGAGATAAGGCAGAGCCTTGAAATCACAGTACTGTCTGAACGTTCTTTGTAGGAATGCTTCTTCAGTTTCATTTTATATTATGATGCAACTAGTTTTGAGAACAAATTATTCTTAATGTAACAATAAACAAAACTGTACTACTTGCAGCAGTGTGATTATTACACAAATATCAGATGCCAAAGTAATCTTTGGTTTTGGATACATAATAGAAGGCACGCTGGACATACGAAAAATAAAAACAAATGCATTAATCTGAGTACAAAAGTTCAAATTCAAATATAGAAGGCTTGGTTCATGACATCCTTCTCACACTTAGAGGAAGAAGACATACTATGATAGATATGTGGATATTTTGTTTTATAATATACAATCTACAAGAACTGAAAAATTGTTGTTCAACTTCTTTTCTCAGTCTTCTCAGCAACTAAAGTGAGTACAAAATGTAGTATCAAAGTTACTTTTCAAGCACATTTCACAACTCACCTAAACAAGTGTCACTAATTGCACATGGATCCTGGAAATTTGATATGCTAGTGAAAGTTGCAGATGACAGATTTTGAGATATTACCTGTCAATGGTTGTAAATTATGAAAGCTTTTTCACTTTTTTAGCATTAATACATTAACAGATAATCTAGTCTTAGACACACACATAAACACACACACACACACACACACACACACACACACACACACAAAAGTGAAGAAGAAAAAAGAGAGAGTAATTCAAGGTTCAAGAAATTCAATGACATAACATGTCAAGCAGAAGATAAGAGAACAGTCTTCATGTCCTTACCTGACTACAAACTCACTTTTTTACCAACAGAAATTTCAATTTTCTGCTACGAGCTTATTGTTTACTTGTCCCAGGTCAACCTGCACCAACTTAGAACCAAGAAAAATGTAAAACCTTAGTTGTCTATGTCTTTCTGAAACAAAAATAAAGTCAAATAAAACAAAATAAAAACACAAATAAGAGATTTGATTGGAGTCCATAAGTTTCAGTAAAGTACCTTTGCTCATCTGCAGATTTGACATATGCTGCGAATGAATGGGAGGGAGTCTGTTGAGGTTTGCACATTTTCATGAAGCAGATGTCTGCACATCTTTATTTGCAAGAGTGCTATCTGTAAGAGACCTTGAAGAAAATCTACTTTTTCAGAAAAGTGTCATACGAGAACAATTTGGTAGAAATGTAAAGTAGATAATGTCGATGGCGGTAATGCTATGCGGTAATGCTAAGTACCTAAGAAAAGCTGGATCACATATATCATTAATCCTCCAACCCAAAAATAGCCTCCATATTTTTGTTAGTTTCCTTCTCCAGTACAACGGATGGAAACTATGCCAACTGAATATATAAAATATGTTATAAAACGATAACTGATACTAAAATAACATTACTCTATGCAGAGACGAAATATTGATTTTCCATTTCTTGGAATACTATGTCCCCTTAGATCCAAAGACAAATTTGTATCATAAACAATCTTCAAAATTATAAGGTACATCCCCAACTCTAAAGGCAAGTGGACTGCATGTGGTCGAAAGAAAAATCACATACATTAATAGTACTTTTTTTACCAGACAAAAATTAGACCATGTCATGTTAGGAAGGGGGGGCTGAAAAGAAAAGTTATCAACTCTAGCTTTTTTTTACTCTTATGAGTTTAATATCTAAGCTTTGATCGCCTAATTAAGAAAGATATGGTTCCAGTTAGAGTCTAACCAAGCTTTGAGGAGAACAAAAAAAAATAAAAGCCTTACTTAAAAATTAGCAATATAGGCTGCTCCAACATTTGTCAATGGCTGCTCTGACCTTCTTAGGCTTGCAAAGCTCTTGTACAACTCTTGTCCAAGTAGAGGCTTTGGGTGGCAAAAACTTTTGCAGCATCACTTCTACAATTATGGAAGCACCAACTATCCTCTGCTGCTTAAATAGCCGGACAACAAGCTCATTTAGGAACTCCCTCCCATCTTGAGGTGGGTCAAGCTTTTCTCTCAAACTTCTCAGGAAGATGTCACATGTAACTGAGTCGGGATCACAACCCCGATCCAGCATCCTATTTAAATGATCAATGGCAAGGGAGATGCTACTCTGCTTGCAGAATACATTGAAAAGTATGTTATAAGTGATGACATCTGGTTGACATTCAGGCTCCTGACAAAGCATTTCATTAAAAAGTTTCAAACCCTGCTCAACCAAACCAGCATTGCAAAGGCCATGAATGATTGAACTGTAAGCCACAACATCAGGTTTACATCCTCTGCCCAACATCTGCTGCCAGGCGATCAAGGCCTCGTTGAGTTGACCATCCTCACATAAACCATGAATTAGGACGCTGTAACAGACCTCATTACGCATATTGCTTGCCATTTCTTTCCACAAAAGAATGGCTTTTTGACTCTGACCTGTCTGGAAGAAGCCTCTCATTAAAGAACTGTAAGTGAAGGAATTGGGCATGCAACCATTACTCACCATTTCACTGAATACTTCCTTGGCTTCATCTGGTTTTCCTTCTTGGCAAAGACCATTTATAAGAGTGCTATAGACAATGGTGTTGGGTTTACATCCCTTTTCCAGCATCTCCTTCCACAATCTCATTGCATCTTCAGATTTTCCCTCATTGAACAGTCCACTAACAAGGACTGAATAAATATACTCATTTGCATGATTCCCTCTTTCTTCCATAGACATCAGCACTCGAGCCCCATCAACCGCTCGACCTTGCTTAACAAGTCCATTGATGATCGTACCATATGTCACATCATTAGGCACACATTTATTCGAAACCATTTGATCCAAAAGACTAACTGCCTTATCCAACTTACCCTTGAGACACAAACCGTGGATAAGGGTGTTATAAGTCACTTCATTCGGAACACAGCCTTTAAGAAGCATATTATCAACAAGCTTCGCTGCACGTCCCAAGTCACCCTTTTTGCATAATGCATTAATCAACACATTAAATGTCACAGGACTCGGAATGCACCCCTCAAGTTGCATCTCATCCAACAAAAAGACCGCCTCATCAATCCTTTTCTCCTTGCATAACCCATCCATCAATGTAGAATACGTGAACACATCAGGAGTGCAATTCCTAAGTGGCATTTCTCTAAACACTTGGACTGCTCTATCAACCAATCCGAGCTTACACATGGATTTAATAATCAAATTAAAACTGAGTACATTGGGTGAAATGTTCATGCTCGTAGTACCAACAACATGGTAAGAAAACTCTAAAGCATGAGAATAATGACCCTCCTGTATAATAACATTAAGCACCGAATTAAACGACTTAACTGTTCGCCTACACTGAAATTCATCCACCATTCTATAAAACAATTCTACAGCTTTATTGGGTAAATGCGCTTTTCCATAAGCTCTAAACATTAGAATAAAACTCTGCTCAATAAAAACTCGCCTTTCACGTTTCATTCGATCTAAAACCTGCTCCAATGACCGAAAATCACCCAAATTTGCGTAATTCTCAATGAGTGAATAGAAAGTTGAATCACCCGACTTGTAAGAACCCAATTTGGTACCTTTCTTGAAGATTTCATTAGAAATTGGGGGCTCAGTTTCATCATTGTTTACGGGTTCAGTTTGAAGGGCTTGGTTTGATGGAATTGCAAGAACTGAAAAGTGAGAGTAAAGCGAACAAGTTAACAACTCACATGGTGAGATTGGACAGAGGCTCAGCTTCTTGAGACCACCTTGGATTGAGCTGCAGAGGAGCTTCGAGTAGGAAGTTGAGCATTTTGGCATGGGTTTTTAAGGTTTTGGTTTGGGTATTGGATTGAACCTGCATACGAGTCCAAATGAGTAGAAGGATATCAGAATCAAAGTATTGGGTTTTAATGGGTTTTGTGCATTTCACAGAGAGACAAACTCTCCCAGTGAACTCGCTGAATGGTGTCGAACTCAAAATATCACTCGTTTGCGGCTTGCACTACTTTGAGTTCGACAAGAACCAGAGTATCAGAAAGAAGCCTAACGGGAAGCTCTGATTGGAAGAAGAAGAAGCAAGCTGGTTTTTACAATCAAGCACGTTAATAGGATTTAAGCCCAAATACAAAACGAAGAAGGGATTAGCTGAGGGGACCTTCGTGGAAACCCAATCTTATTCACCCCGTCCCTTTTAATAATTTACAAATTTATAATTAAATTATTTACAGACAAATATTTATATAAGCTAAATGAAAACAAACAAATTTATTATTGTCATTGTTGGAGGAGCCATGTCCCCTTAGCCTCTCCTTACCGTTATTGTCTCAAATTTCACTGCTTTGGTTACATTAGAGTTGATTATGTCCATAAACTCATACAAGTGTGAGACTTTATCTCAAAATGCGTAAAAGGAAGTGTAAGTGGACAAAAGAGGAGTAGGAACATACAATTTCTAACAAAGGGAGTGTAAATGGATAAAAGAGAAGTGAGAAAATTAGCTCTCTATATAAGTGGATAAAACAACCATCACTTTTCTTAAGACGGCAGAGTGATTATTATTGGTATTGTTAGGGGTAAACAACACCATCCCTTCAAACAACGAATCCATCTCATCTTCTTCCATATGATTTGGCTATCCTTAAACCCAAAACTAAAATCTTCCAAATCCAATAAACTGCCAAATTATGAATCAGTCAAAATATGATAAAAGAAAATACGAAATTGCTTGCTCTTAGTCTTACTCCCAATTTCAAAACTCAAAGCTTGCCTCTTTGATTTTTGATTGGTGTGGCTGGTTGGTTACTAGTACTAGTGCGATGCAGAAGAAGAGATTCTGAGAAGTTTAAGGGTGGTGGTGAGCATACACCTTTGGTTAATGTGGTGAGCAAAAATGCTCTCATAGAAATATAAAGTAAAATCCTGTAATTGTAATCTATTAAAATCATAAGTAAAATCCTAAGTGAATAAAATTATAAGTAAAATCATGTAATTGCAATATATTAAAATCATAAGTAAAATCATATAATTACAAACATGGTTGAAATCCATTACAATTTGTTAAAATCTCAATTGAATATACCCCCGGTTCGGTGTCATATTTTTTCTATTCGATTCGGTTTGGTGTTCCGGTTTTCCGGTCCCGATGCCCACCCCTAACCACAATTGTTAAAATAAGCATTCCGTAAAAGGCTGAAACAGTCATCACCAAACTTTAAAAGATAAAACATTATATTGCCAAATTCCAAACAAAATTCCAACTAGATTTGAAACGGTAAGAACATAATATGCTTTCAATAAACCTAAATTATGGCTATTAAATTGAATACATAAATAAAAATAACAATAAGGGAAGGTTTGCAAGAAGAGAAAAGAGGAAAAGGGGAGTGTTAAGGTAAGAAAGGGAAGGTTGCAAGAAGGTTTGGCTAAGAAAAGAGGGAAAGAAAGAAATGAGTGTCTTATGTGTTCTTCCGGCAGCTTGATAGAGGTTTTGTCAAATGTGAGAACAGTCTGCCAGAAGAGGAAAAATGGGAGAGAATGGAGCACAGAATTGCTGGGTTTTGCAGGCAAGAGAGGAAGCTTGCTCTCTGGATGTGGGTTGTGGCTAGTGGTGAAGTATTGGGTGTTTTGGGTAATCTTCCAACAGCCTGACAAAAGCTATGTCAGACTCTGGAATGGCTTGCCAGAAGAGAAAATGGGAGGAGATGGAGGAATAAGGCACGAAATTGCAGAGTTTCATAGATGAGAGATGAAGCTTGCTTTCTAGATCTTGGTCCTTCTTGGTTGGGTAGAATATGCCTCTTTTATAGCCGCTGGAAGCTATCATTTTCCAAGAAACACTAATGGTTTCTATCTAATTTGGCCAAGCTTTTTCCTTCCTTTCTCCTCTCATCCTTTCAATCATCCTATTTTGGTGAAATTCACTCTGCCTATTTGCACAAAATCAGGGATTTTTGGGAGCTCAATGCTTCTTCCCGCAGCTGCCTCAATGGAGAACTTCTATTTTCAGCCATCTTTCTTCCTTCTTTTCTCCCCTCTTCTATAGTTAGATCTGATGGGGGGAAAGAAATGGGTATGTACACTGGTTTGAAGGGTGTTTTGCTCAAGTATCCCTTAGTTTTTTGGATGTTTTTGCTTGAAACTTGTTCCCTCCCATGTGCTGGAGCCTCCCTACAGCTTCTACACATGGATATTTGCCTTTCATCGTGGCTTTTGTTTTCAGCTAGGTGCTGAAGATTTGCATATATTTTCTTGGGTTGCTTGGGCCTTCTAGGACAATAAGTTGGTTTATCAAGTACATGAGCTAACTTAATCAATTGTTGGGCTATTTTGGTTGAAATGATGAGCTACTTTTCTCTCTTTGTGCACACCCACATATTTGGGCCTAAGAATAGGCTTGAGTTCCGGGGTTCCCAAGCAACTCGGGACTTCTATTTCTCGGCCCATCAATGGGCCTCATGACAATTCATTACCATCCATACCCAACCCACTCAAGCAAGCCTCGGGCATTCGCGTGGTTTGGGCTCACTTAAGCTTGTAGCGTGACGTGTTGCTTATTTGCTTGGCGTGGCACATGTGCAAACGTATATGATGAACTCTTGGGTACTCAAATTGGATTTCTTCCCAAGTTATGTGTCGTACTGGGCCGGGAATTTATTCATGTCCAACTATGGATTTTTTGGGAATTTATTCATTTATATGCATCTTTAAATCACAAGTAAATGATTAATTTTTATTTAATTGGATATTCAAGGAACGTTCTAGCTTGGCCACTTTGGTGAATAACAAACCATTAATAATATGAAAGTCAAATTAAATTAACAATTGTATTAGTTAATCAATTACATAAGATTAATTGATACACTTTAATGGTTAATCGATCATTAGATTAATTAATTTGATATTTAAGGAACGTTTTAGCTTGGCCACTTTGGTGACTAACAAACCATTCATAATATGAAAGTCAAATTAAATTAACAACTGTTTTAGTTAATCAATTACATAAGATTAACTAATACACTTTAATGGTTAATCAATCATTAGATTAATTAATTTGATATTCAAAGAACGTTCTAGCTTTGCCACTTTGGTGACTAACAAACTATTCATAATATGAATGTTAAATTAAATTAACAACTATAATAGTTAATCTATTACGTAAGATTAATTAATACACTTTAATAATTAATCGATCATTAGATTAACCGATAAATATATGACCTTTTAACACAGTAGTGGGCAATAGACCTTTAGATTGCCTCACTTCATAAGACAATGTACAGTGACAATGAAATACAATATGCTTACATTTATTTGTTTTAAATAACTTTAATTCACTGTACATGTCTACACCAGGATCATTCCATGAGTTCATAAGTGGTCACATTTAATACATCATCCTATTACAAATCCATTTTATATAATTGCAATTCTTAATTTGGTGTAAATATTATGCAATTTTACCAAAATTAGTATTGCATAAAGGGGAACATTAGGCTTATGAAACCCTATGAAATTTATAATAGAAAATTAGTTAAATTCCTATTCCTAGACATAAAACTATAAATAAACCATATACTATTTAATGTATATAAACACACCCAAAATAAAAACAAAAATCGACAGCTGTCGATTTTTTCAATTCAACAGTTATATTGGATTACGGTTTTGCCTTTTTGCAATTTTGAGAAACAACCGACTTATTTTTTATTTTTTATAAATCTTTTATTTAATAACAATTATGTTGTAGATTGAAGAGGAATAAGAAGAAGAAGAGCATCGATGTAACATCCTACATCGACCAACGGAGAGGGGGTGATGTGCCTTATATGTACATGCCTATCTCCATCTAGCACAAGGCTTTTTAGGAGCTCACTGGCTTCGGAGTCATGGGAACTCCGAAGTTAAGCGAGTTGGGGCTAGAGCAATCCTAGGATGGGTGACCCACTGGGAAGTCGCTCGTGAGTTCCCAAAAACAAAACCGTGAGGGCAGATAGAGGGGCCCAAAGCGGACAATATCGTGCGGGATGTGACAATCGACCATGGCAATGCATGCGCTCATGACTCGTGGAGTAGCTTGTGTGGCTCCAGGCTCATCTTCTTCCGCCAATCTTTTGATGCTCTAGGCAACGCTCTTATCAGTTCTTCTTCCAAGACTTAGGTTCGTCGTTGAGCAGTTTCTTTGTGATTTTGTGATTAATTTGAATATGTCTACGGTTTTTTCCCTTAGTTTTGCATTTCGTTTACAAATTGCGATAAATAAATTGATTAAAAAAAATTGAAAATTACTTGCTTGCTTATTTGTGTTAATTCTAATATGATTTGTAATGCTGGTACTGTGTTTCTAGTTCTTAGCATAATGGTTGAGCATCTACATAAACATTTACTGTTTGTATGATCTACATGCTAAGCTACTGTTAGTTAGCAATTTTTGTTTCAGTCTTAACCACTGCTTTTGCTATTACAGAAGGATAATAATGTTGTTTACTTGTTAAAATTCCTTTTTCAGCGGGTTGAGACCTATAAGTTATCTAGCTTGGTTTTGCCGCTGTATATATATATTTTTAATGTGAAAATATATTGTTTTATGCCTTTCAGGATAATGAACTGTTAATGAGGGCACTGTCAAAGCTAGTCAATCTTAACAATGCAGATATTGTCTCGTTTGTTGGAGAGGCACTTGTTGGAAATGATGTTGTTGATTAGCTTTCAAAGTTTAATCAGGTTTTTTCTAGTATTGTCCAATTAGGGATTGTTTGTTGGTCTCCATTTCTATTGAAAAATCTTCAGATATATAGTTTTTGCTAGGGTTTCTAATTTATCTTTTGGTTGGAATAGCTGTTGACATTGCTTTGGTTGGCATGTTGGCACCCTATGCTCGAATTGCAAAGCCATCAGTCTCACGAGGATTATTTGGAAGTTAACCCTAATTGTAGAGATGTAATTTATAGTAACTTCAACACTCATTTCATATGGAATAAACGGTTTTTGGGTATGTTTCTAAATTGGTTTTAGGTATGTTTCTAAATTGAATTTCATGTAGGGGTTTTTTTAATAATTTCAGCTCTTATTTTGGGTGTATTACTAAA